TGATGCAGCAAATTGTGACTTAAGTCTATTATTTGTTGATTGTCTTATGTGGGTTTCCTTGATTCACTTACTAGAATGTTAAAATGCTCCAAGCATAAGAGACATTCGTTCTTACATATTTTCCCCACAACTGCTACTGCAGCCTTTTGTAAGTATTCAATGATAAGTGCCAACGGGACATTTTAAGAAAATAAATGTACATACTGCTTAAGAGGGCTAATAAGAGGACATGTATACATGCATATATATATAGGCTTCCCTGCTGGCTCAGACAGTAAAGAATCTGACTGCAATGTGGGAGACCTGGGTTCGATCCTTGGGTTGGGATCACTCACTCACTCCCTCACTTATACACACACACACACACACACACACACATACACACACAGACACACACACACACACACATACACTTACACACAGACAGGATTTTGTGGTCAAAAGTAGAATTCAACTCAACAGAAGCCACTAAAATTCCAAATTTGTGTTTGCTGTTATTTTAAATTATAGAAATGTCTCTCTTACTCTCCTTGTATTTAGGAAAAGAGACCGATAAGTGTCCTCTGTCTGATTCAGTGGTTGACTATAACATTTACTCTCTAAGATAAAAATAGGAAATTCCTATTATTATAATTTAAGATAAATTTTAATCAACCAGACCCAATAAGAAACCCAACCATGTACCACCACTGTATTCACTTCAGAAATTCCTTGTTTGCATAGCTGCAAATCTTTCATGTATCAAATAAGCCAGAAGCTCAGCCAGAATTATGGATACTATTATGTGTCTCATTTTGGGAGAAGGCATCTAAAGATGCCAGTACTCTGTGATAACTTCGTCCATCCAGATCTGTGAACTTTGATAAAAGAAACATTGGCCTATAGTCGTAAAGTATCATAAGATGGCATCTCAAAGAATTCTGATGCTGTGCTGTGTCAGTGTCCGACTCTTTTCGACCCCATGGACCCTGCCAGGCTCCTCTGTCCATGCGATTCTGCAGGCAAGAATACTGAAGAGGATTGCCATGGAGGCTCCATGGAGGAGGCTCCAGGGGATCTTTTCAACCCAGGGATCAAACCCAGGTATCCCGCATTGCAGGCAGATTCTTTACCATCTGAACTACGAGGGATAAGATGGCATTTCATGGTATTGTGATGAAGGAACGACTTCTCCCAATTCAATTTGATTTTTTAAAATAAATGGATTGTATTTATTTATTACGTTTTGTTTTTTTTTTTTTTTTGGCCACTTCACAAAGCATGTGGGATCTAGTTCCCTGACCAGGGGTTGAACCTGTGCCCCCTGCATCGGAAGCTCAGAGTTTTAACCACTAGACCACCAGGGAAGTCCCTCAGTTTGCTTTTAATTTGGTTCCCCAGGAAGTCACTCAGAGTGTCTGACATGTGTCGTTTCTTTGTCATTGATGAACATGATGCTGCTGACTTCATCTGTTTCATCCCTTGCTCCATCTTCTGGGGGGTTGTTTAGTTGCAAATGTGCCACTTTCGCTTCCGAATCTGGCTGCTACAAATGTTCTTCAGCTTGCTAGATTCCATTCACAGTTTTTCTTTTATGAACTCTTGCAATTACAGGTGAGAGTCCAGCTAGGGATCATTCTACCTGCTTAACAGCTCATCATCTCATTTACTGAGTGTAATGGCTGGTCACTAAAATATAAAGATACGTACAGCCTGGCCTCTGTGTTAAACAAAAACACACAAACAATTCTCTTAGCTCATAGCCGACTCTTCTAAAACATTTGCTTTGTGCCAGGCACTGCACTTTCCTGGTGGCTCAGATGGTAAAGCGTCTGCCTACAATAAAGGCAAGAAATTGCAACCCACTCCAGTATTCTTGCCTGGAAAACCCCATGGATAGAGGAGCCTGGTAGGCTACAGTCCATGGGATCACAAAGAATCCAACACAACTGAGCAACTTCACCTTCTTCACTTTTAGGCACTGTACTAACTCTTGACATGGACTGTCACATGATTTTTTCTTTTTTACAACAACCCTGTTGACAGGAACTATTAGTTTATACTTATGACTCTAATAAGAAAATGGAAGCATGAAGAAGAGAAAGTATATCTAGGAAGAAGTAAGGATAGGCATTGAAGACATGTGGTCAACCCTAGCAGTCATAGCACAGCTTCTACGAGTGAAGAATTGTGTCAAGCATAAAGCAGCAGAAGTAGCAATGGATCTATGCAGACTCCTTACCATCTGAGCCACCAGGGAAGTCCTATGGAGCTATGCACCAGAGCTAAAAGAAGGGAGTCTTGGGGATGATTTCAAAAGGCTGGAAGGCGAAATTTCAGCACTGCAGACTGGGGCTGGGAAAGACTCAGAACTATGTATTCAAAGCTCAGAGGATATCACCAAAGCAGAAGATTTTTTTCTTCATTAGGTATCCTCCCTGGGTGGGTTATAAAGATGTGAGAAACACTGAAGGCAGGCCAAGGAAGAGGAGACAGCTCACAGAACTGAGAGAGAGCAAAAAGCAGAGGGAAAGAACCAAAGATTCACAGGGAAGAACCCAAAAGGGAGAGAATTTCCAGGGCCTATTGAATTTTGCAATTGGGTCTTCATTATTAATCACAAAAGCTATTATGTTCTTGATGCCAGGCAAAGATCACACACATGATCTCACTTAATTCTCACAACCACCCCTAAAGTATGTGTTATTATCTGCAGAACAGTTCCGGGGGTGGCCAAGGGCAAAATCCAAACCACAGTGGGTTGAGAAGTGACTGAATGGGGAGAATGTCGTCTGCATTTGGGATGAATTTGGGATAAAAAGAGATTGAGTCTCCATTGAAAGCTAGCCAGGGTGCCAGTCACTTTAACTCTGTCTTCTATTGTCATCCAAGCAAAACTCTGAAAGGGACGTGTCCTTATTCACCTTCAAAGAAGAAATGGAGATTTGGAAGCCCACTGTGATCCCACAGCCTATATTCTTTTTCATAAACTCCACTCTGCTCCCATCAAGGGAACAGATAAGTTGCAACTGACATTTACTGAAGTCTTAACTGCACCCGGCAGGGCACTGTGCTAAAAATGTGCCAGCCTGTTAAGTTGCTTCAATCAAGTACGATTCTCTGCAAGCCCATGGTCTGTAACCTGCCAGGCTCCATGGGATTCTCCATGGGATTCTCCGGACAAGAATATTGGAGTGGGTAGCTGTCCCCTCTTCCAGAGGATCTTCCAGATTCCAGGGATCAGACCCAAGTCGTTTATGTCTCCTGCATTGGCAGCCAGATTCTTTTCCACAAGCCCCACCTGGGAAGCCTCTGCTAAGAATATTTACATGAATTGTCACACTGAAGCTGCACTTTAAATGCTAGCTTCATTACTGATAGAGTGATGATTAAGGGCTTGAGCTCAGGAATCAGATTCCCTGAGTTGGGAGCTCAGCTCTTCCATCTAGGAGAGTCTTGCCTCAGTTTCCTCATCTGTAAAATGGGCTTTATTGTGAAAGTTATTTTAAGATAACACACTTGATATCAAAAGAACAGTGAGTACCTAAGGCGTGATTAGCAACTGTGAAAATCCGCTCTGGATTTCAGCCTCTCCCAGAAATCCTTCTGTTTCACCACCACCCACCACCCTACAGAGAATCCTCTTGAGGGGGAATGTGGGGGTGGGTGGGTGTTTGCAGGGTGTTTGCTTATTTGTTTTAAGACGGGATTGAGTCGACTTGGGGCATAGTTATTTCCTGGGAACCGGGGGACTGGGTGGAGAATGGAGGAGACGCAAAGGGAACATGCAGAAGAGAAGACGCTTTGACGGGTAAGCTCTCGGGGAGACTGGGGGAGCTGGCAACCCGGCACAGGTGCAGGTGCGTGGTCTGCCACCTGATCCCCAGAGGCCCAGGAAAGGAACTGAGGCTGGTGTTCACTGTTCACGTCTTGATTTTGACTGGAATCAGAGGAGAAAGAATCCAGGAAGAAGTTTACTCTTCCTCTCCCTTCTTGCTGGCGGGGACATAGCCAGTGTTCCTGAAGAGATTAAATAATAATCATAATAATACCCCGTGCCTCCTACCCTTTCTTTCTTCCTGGACCTTCTCCTTCCCCCCTTCCTCCCCTCTACCACCCCCACCTCTCCTTCCTCTTCCCTCCCTCCCCCTGCTGGCTAACCGGTTACTTTCCCCTTCCCTTCTCTCCGGGTCCCTGCTGCCTTCCCGGGCGAGGGAGAGAGCGAGGTTGGCTGCGGACGGTGCAGATCAGCCAGGGAACCGAGTCAGTCTCTCCCTCCCTCCCTCTCTTTCCCCCTCTTCCCCCCTCCTTCTATTGCACACCACACACATACACGCACACGCGCACACGTACACACACACACACACACGCAAACACTCAAAACTCGGACCGGCCGCACCGCGGCTGCTCCAATCCTTGCAAAAGGCGAGCGAGCGCCCTCCGGTCCGCGCTCGGCTCACCCCGCTCCGGCTGCGCGCCCGACGCAGCGCTAAGTCCCGGTGCCCCGCGCGCCCGCTTCGGCCGGGTGTTCCCGAGAATAAAGCGGGGAGGGAGGGTACAGACAGATCAGAAAACACGCCAGCCACACACGCCGCGACTTCAGCTCTGGCTGGGAGTCCGAGGGGAGACGGCGCCGGCAGCGCCCTGCGCGGGTGAGGTCCGCGCGGCCGCCGGGGAAGAGCCCACCTGCCGGCCCGCGATCGGCCGGCGCCAAGAGTGGGGCCCATCGTGGTCCTGCTCGGGCAGCGTCCGGGCTCCGGGCGCCCTCGCCCCAGCTAGTTGGGAGTTTCCACCCTCGGCTCCGCCGCTGGAGGGACCTCGGAGGCACCCGGTCCGCGCCTCGGAGGGACCTCCCCGCCTCCTCCCAGGACGCAGCAGCGGAGCGGACCTCGCGATGGCCGGGGCGCGCGGGCTGCTCCGTCTGTGGCTGGGCTGCTTGTGTGTGAGCCTGGCGCAGGGACAGAGACTCAGACAGCCCTTCCCGGAGCTCCTCGTGGCTGTGCCGGGCGACCGCGCGGCAGGTGGCGGCCCCGAATCCCCGCTGCAGCCCCTCGACCAGCTGTCGGAGCATATGCTGAGGCTCTACGACAGGTACAGCGGCGGCCGAGCGGAGGCGGCGCGGACGCCCGGGACCTCGGAGCGGGGCTCGTCGCCTTTGCGCCCCCAGCCGCTGCGCGAGGGCAACACTGTTCGCAGCTTTCGAGCCGGAGCCGCAGGTGAGTGCCCGGGGCGCCCCCTTTCCGCGATGTCGTCCCGGGGGTCTCCCGGGACACCACCCTCCCCACGGCTTCCTGGTCTGCCCCCCGCGTCACCTAGAGACCCTCCCTCGCCCTGCGGCTCACGCTCCCCGCAGGCCCCCGGTGCCGTCCCATCCCGCATTCCACCCGTGACCTAAGAATCAGCCCAATCTAGAGTCCGAACGGAGAGAGAGGAGTGGAAGAGAAGGGCGCCGAGACCCGAACCAGCTCGGCTGGAAGAAGGAAGCGCAGGAAACCGGGAAAGGGGCTGCCCCCCACCCTATCCAGCCGGGTCCTCTTGCCCTGGGTGTCTGGAGCTCCCCTGGGGCAACCTATGCCGGTGTTTCTTAAGTCGGTCAGCGGAACTTCCCTTGGACAGGGCTATAGCCGTGTTTACCTAGAGGCAGATGTTATTTTATGCCAACCCCGGGGCACCAGAGAGAAAAATCACACTTGAACTAGACGCCTTCCCCTTAGCCCTTTAGACAGTCGCTTCTCCAGACCTTCCACCTCCTCTTAACTGGCGTCCTCTGTGTTTATATTTGACACTTTCTACTTGACGGTCCCTTGGTGGCAAACAACGCAGACTAAACCAGGTGCTCGAGTGTTTCGATTATTTAAAACCCATCTGGGCAAACAGGGGATGTACCACCCACCCTGGGAGGAGCTGAGACGGAGGGGAGCAGCCGGTGGATGTAAACACCTCTTGGAATCTGCCGATGAAAATTTGCTCATCCCATTTTTCAACACACAGATCACTGTGGACTGAAATTCATGGCTTAACAAGGTTTCTCCTGGCCCCTGTGGTGAAGCGAATAACTTATGCTAACAGCCTGCCTCCCCTGTGCTAACAGCTTGAGGGAAAGTCTCCTGGACGCTAACTCGGTTTATATGCTTTGAGGATGCACCGGGCTTTTTTGTTCACTGCATTCACGATTAAGGGAAATGTAACTGCAAAGCCTGTCCTCAGTGAACCGTTGAAAAATAGCCAAGAATCTTCAAGTTAGGAGGCCATGCCTCATGCTCTATCAATTCTGTCAGAATCACTAGAAAGACATCTCCCAAAGCTTTGATATGTAGGACTCCTGGAAAAGTGGAACACCAGGAAAGCATCCATTAGGGAAAGCCCTAGGCTGACACTGTAAATACACTCTAGAGCACCTAGGCTTGATGACATTTACAATAAATGTGAATTATGCTTTCTAATGCAGAAGTCTTTAGCTGGAGCCTGAGCTGAATCAGATTTCGCTTTCTTCTGAAAACCACGAGCATGATCTGTAAGGAGGTGGCCTCTGCTAAGGAAAGAGAAACCTGCTCTTGGTCATCCACAGTGTGTGAGCCACTTGAGAAGGCTGTCCTGACAGCTGACCACACCAGTGACTGGCCTGTTTAGTGCAACTCCAAGGGCAGAGCTCCATGAGAAAACAGTGTGGAAGAAACCAGACAAGTTGGGCGGGCAAGACAGGTGGCAATGGTGAAGATAATCTAATCATTCTTACCTCTGAATGCATTTTCTTGGTAATATTCCTAGGGAGTCCCCAAGGCACCCAAGAGATGAATAGTATTTTTGGAATCACAAATTTTTAGTATGAATCACAAGGTTTGGAGGTGGCATGTGAGTTTGTTTCATTCACACCTATTGTATAGTGTTTTGTATGTTTGTTTTAGACTGAGGGAACCATGAGTGAGAGATGGACAAGGATTTGAATATCTCAGGCCCCGTTTACTCTTTGGCTTCAGCTCACTCTATGCATTATAATTTCAGAGTGTCTCTTATCAGCCTCTCTGTAGTCTTAGACCATCAAATGATAAACTCTGATACGGAGGCCAGAAGTTCCCTTGAAATGATGAATTGCAGCTTAAAGGATATATACAAGGCTGTGCTCCTGATAAGAAAAGTAATTCCTTTAGCATCCTAGAGACTGTCTTAATGACTTATTCATCAAATGTAGACACCAGTTTTTGTGGAAGCTGAAGTGTCCTGTTACTACACTGGAGACTCCTGGAGAGGTGGCTCGTGTTGGACTCCTTCCAAGAGTGTTTAGTTACTAACACACTAAAAAGACCTTATTAAAAGCAGCTCTGGCTTTAATAAGGCAGAACTCCAGGAAGGTGCTAAGGTTTTCGTGTGTCTCTCTTCTTTATCCATATCAGCATTTCCCTAACACCCTTCATCTTGTGACACGTGTTCTGATGTAGGTGAAAGATGCTGTCTGCTTTAATAAATCAGATATGTTTTCCAGTCCACAGTGTTGAGGTTTCACAAACATATGGGCTTCTCTGGACCAACGATGTTACAGATTTTAATGGAAGGTCAGGTGTGTGCTGTTGTCTATGGAGTGGCTGCTGATTCGGCAGACTTTCCTCGTGCTTATTCAGGCTGAGTTATAGCCTTCGAGCCCTCTTTGCTCCTTGGAACATACCTGATTAAAATTATTTATTGTTCTAAACCTAGAATATCTTTGGTTGAAATTTAGCTGCTGTGGTCTCCCTCTGATTACCTTCTACTTAAACCATTACTTGATGGTGGGTGGCATTCATCCTAAATACACTTTCTGCTAACCCCTTTCTCCTCCCTCAATGCTATGCAGTTGGTGTGCCAAAACCGTAAGTTTGGAGCACTCATACGTCTTTTTGTGGTGTGTAAGTGTTTATATAAAGATAGGTTTTATCTTTCCCTTTGTAAAAGGTAGTTTACAAAATTATTGATGACAGAGAAGTTCGGCTTTAGAAAAACACACCATCTCGAAGGAAGACAAGAGGGACATGAAATCAGCTTTTATTTTCATCCTAGTTTAAGTTGTCCTTGGCTTCTATGTAATGAAAGAAGAATATTTTGCATGAGGTTTTCTCCTGGCCTGATCCTTAAAGATACATACTTTGTGTTCATTAGTTTCTCATCATTTCCATAGTCACTTAATCTTATTTTTCTTAATCATAAATTTAACCTCTTTAGGGAAAGCGATTAACGCACAGATGTTCTTATTAGGAAACTATCATTATTTTAATTTATGACATATAACTACAAAAGATTGCATTTCAGTGGATTTATGTCACCTTTAAAGAAAAATGACACAGACTTTATAGACAGAAAGAAAAGAAAGTTGAAAAAAGTCAGACCCCGAAATGAATATTTTCCTTCAATGAGAAAGAGGAGAGTCTTTCCTACTGTAACCAAAAATCTTTTAAAATGAAGAATTATAATGTGACATGTTTCTGAAGTGCAAGGCTAATTAGAAAGGATGTAGTGAAGGGCTGAACAATCATTCTAATAGGAGCCAGTTTTGTAAAATGCATAGGCTGGGGTGGGGGAAGCATCATTTTTGGTGGGTTTGATGGCAAGGGGCTATTACAACAGTATTAAAACAGAGTTACCTAGAAATTTCTGGCACCTAGAAATTATAGAATACTTAGATTGTCTGATGTTTTTATTCAGAGGACAATAATACATCTGGAGAGGGGGAACTGGATGTGCAGCTGCTTTGAATTACACTCTACTTTGAATACATGATAGCCCTTAATGAAGTTTTTACTGTAACAATCAAGACAGCTTTACAATCTCTGACATTTAAAAATCCATAATGCCATGAATTCTAGATTATCTATGCTAATGGAAAAGAAAAAGAATGTTACATTAGAAATAATTTAAATTTATCTCTTTAGTATGGTTAGACACACTCAGAGAGACCAGGAGAACATGAGGGTCAATGAAAAAAGTCCCCTAAGTAGATAATTCACTCAGGGAATATTTTTACATTAAAACTATATACATAATTGAGAATATATTAAAAGGGTTACAGACATTTTATCTAAGCAGTAGAAGTTTATAAGCATTTGATTGACCCAGTTCAGGTTTTTCTAAAAATTAGCTAAAGACGTGAATGTCAGACCTGATCTTAAACGTTTTGGAATTACAGAATTTCATGTTTGGAAGAGGCTATAAAGAAAGCAAGCCCAACCCTTTATTTAAATGGAAGAAGAAATGGACATCATGATATATTTGCCAGACAAGTTTTCAAACATACTGAGCTCATCTCAAAGTTTCTAATCATCTTATCTGATTTTCTAGAAGATTTTGTAAAAGAGGATATTTAAAAGTTGTTAAAAGATGTTACATAAAATTGCATTCCAGTATCAAGTAAGTTTGGGAAAAGTTATCAGTTTACTTTGGGACCTTTCAGGGCCTTTAAATGCTCATGAACGGTCTTAAGAGTGGATCACTTTCTCCTCATGAGAGCACTTTAGAGAATTGTGGTTCTGAGACATCTGTCTGGGGAAACATTGGTTCAGATTCTTCCTAATTTCTCAAGAAAGAAGATACGCAAAATTCAAGTCAATATTATGACTGAACACTATCTCATTTCTCATTTGTTTACTCAGGATATTTCTTTACACTATTAGTTTTTGGACTTGAGTCCAGTTGGCATTGTACAGTTAGCCCTCCATATCGCTGGGTACCAGGGATCCAACTACAGATTTAAAATATTCACAGGGGAAAATTTCAGAAATTTCCCAAAAACAGAACTTGATTTTGCTGAATAATAAATATTCTAGAGATGATTTAAAGTGTACAGGAGCATGTATGTAGAATCTGTCCTGATACAATGCCATTTAATTTTAGGGACTTAAACATCTATGGATTTTGGTATCTGCAGGGGTCCTGCAACCAGTTCTCTGAGAATACCAAGGGCCAAATGGACCATCTTCCTGATTTCATATTTTAAATTTCTCTGAATGTAATTTTAGACCCTCTGTCATTAAATTTTATTTTGCCTGTTTTTATTAATCCTTATTCATTATTTTCTTCTATAGGATTAGTATTTATTATTTTACATCAATCTGGTATTATTCTTTTAAAAGAAAGCCTTCTTTATTTGTGGAAAAATTCACTAGAAATCATACTCATCACTTTGTTAATGTTTTATTATCATCAATCCCTTGGTTATAGATACCTGTCAAAGCCCTTATATAATCCCATT